TGAACTGAATTAACTCTGAGACGAAGTTGAACTTCACATTTTTTCATGATAATAATTCCATTTCGACCTGTACATGCGCCAGATTTACACTTCTCGTTTTCAAAATAAACTTTAAAAATTAAATAGACCTGTGATAAACCTTCACGGAAGGATCAGGGTCGATCAAGAAGATTTTGAACTTTTTTCTAATCACACAATTCTCAAAATCTGTTAAATAAACATTTAAGTTTCACTCGTTTTAGGCGCCTGCTTTATCAAGGTTACTTAGAGCTTTGTGTTTCCTTTGTTAAAACTAAAGACTGTATATAGAATGGACGCCGTCTGCCTCCTTGCAGGGTGAAGCCACCACGAGAACAGCACCCTCTGGTGACAGGCTGCAGTATAGGTCATAAATCCCGCCTCCTCCAGCAATTCATATGGAGCTGTGGACAGACTTTAGAAATTTATTACGCAGAATACAAATTTTTCTCCCCCCTGCTTGCGATGTTGACATGTAGTTATTGTAAGACTGTGCAGCTCCCTTTTTAAAAGTTATTAGGGGGTTCATGTTTTCTATGATTGACACTTGATACAGCCTATGGGCGTATGAAGATTGCGTAGCTCACTGGGCGATACGCTGTTTGAGCCGAGCGTCATCACAGTGACTTCCGGCAACTCTCCTGCCAAATGTGTATAGCACTACTGCGCAATGTCTCTCTATCTCCCCACATTTCACCCTATCCTATCAATGAAAGGCAAAAATCGCCCAAAAAATACTTAAAAAACAAAAAACCTTGAGAGTGCTTCAAATCAAGGCCTAAAATAATCAAAATCCACAAAATATGGTTTAAAATAGAACAAACTTTTCTTCCTGCAAACTTTTGACTTCCTAACCCACAATACATATTTTCAGGAAGATGTAAATGTTTCCCAGGTCTGTGTGCATAAAAGCATTACCTTTAAATTCAAAGGGACTCTTATGGTCCTTTAAATGTCACAATCTTTTCACTTTATAGTAATTAACAGAAGAAGTGCTCAGTTGTATTGTCAGTAGTTATATTAATAGTACTTTTCTAGAAAAATAACTTTGGAGGTGATTTGTTGGAATCACAAATGATTGAAGGACTATCTTCAGACCACTCAAACTCATTCACCCTTTCACACACCGGTGGTAGAGGCTGCTATGTAAAGCACCAAGCAGTTTTTTTTTTCTAAGTAATCCCATTCACATACAACTGGGTGCAGAGAACAGGGACAAGTCGGGGTCACCAACTTCCTTAGGGCAAGTCGGTGTCTTGCCCAGGGACTCTTTGGCATGTGGACAGTGGGACCAGGGATTGAACCCCCTACCTTCCCATTGAGAGATGCCCATCTCTATCACATAAAGTACTACAACTGCTTCCCACGCCATTGTGGAAATGTTGTAAATATGTCACATTATATCCCCCCTCCCCACATTAAACATGGTTTGTATTTTGTTTACATGTCCATCACAGTGTGAAGGACATTGTAAACAACAAGCAGGAATTCTCAACACACAGTATAATAAAATATAGATATATATAACATGATGTCCTTTTGTAGAACAATCCAAAAATATCTGATAATATGTTCTATTTCCTTCTTTTTCACGGCCTGTTCTTAGATTCTGTACTGTACATACAACCACTGCACACCTTACTGTGTGGTCTGGTGATTAATGACACAATAAAGACGGACATTTCCGACAACTGCGCCGACACGTGCAGCAGTAACGATGCTATGCAAATCCGTAGCCATCAATCTTGGCACAGAAGTGGTTAAGTTTCAGAGGGAGGTGGAACAAAAAGCCAGCCATATTGGCGGTGCCGTGTGCCAAGTGGTAGTCATGGCCCCTGCCCAGCCCTCCTATTACGAGGCTGGCAATAAGCTGGCCTGCCCGCTGGGGAAAACAGGGAGCTGACACCGGGAACATATGCAGCTACACCTGATTGCTGTGCCACCGCGGCGGAAGAGGCTGCGCAAACACACAACATGTAGATTTAACAAACACATGCACACACGCAATAATACTGAAGAAGGAGATCTGCAGAAGTAGACTTACAGTGTATTTATTGGTCATCACATGGATCTCATTCAGAGCCTTTGTGCGCATAAACAGACACAAATGTGGCCTGTGTAATTTAAAATGTCTGTACAGTTCTGAATAAAATCTGCTGACTATTATGCAAACAATAAAAAAAAGTAGAATAACATGTTTTTATCATAGAGTACACACATGCTCACAAACACAAATATGTAAATGTGTGTAAGGAAATGTGTAGCATGGACAAGCTGATACCGAATTGTAAAAATCATGTGCACAAACACAACAGGAAGCATTCTTATAACAGTATGTTTATGAAATTTGAAAAGACTGGCACATAAACTAAAAGACTTGTCATGCACACACACATACACACACACACACACACACACACACACACTAACTCCCACAGAAAAGCCATAGGGGATTAATTTCCTTACTCAGAGAGTGTGTGTATGCCAGGCTTGGCTGGTGTGCCAGTCGCCCGCAGTGCACCACACGCTGCCATGCTGTGCCAGCAAACAGCACCGATGCCCTCCATTTGCAGTGTCACATATATCAAATACATGCTGCTATCACTTAGCCCTCAGTAGTCTGAACCCTGCCCGCCTGCCAGCCTCGCCACTGCGAAATGTGCGTGTGTTTGTGTTTAGCATCTGGTTTCTTCCACCGGCGATGTCCTCGGCTGGATATTTGATTGACGATGGTCCGGTATAATGCCGTGATTGATTGTGTGAAAATCAGAATGAATGAAAGTGTTTTCGGGATTATCTGTGACCAGACACTCACCCTGCTCCGCCTCAACACAAGCTGACATGTCTTTGGGTTTTATTTCCCTCCGTTTTATAGAACTTTATACCAAATTATAAACCCATGACCTTCTTATAATCTCGCACGCATGCAAACACACACACACACGCACACAGATGCACAAACTGGAACATTTGCAGACAGATTTTCTACCTCCCTGGCCGGTAAACTGCAGTCAGTGCGTCATTATGGAGCCATAAGTGTTGGGAGGAAGAAAGCTGGAGAGCAAAGATGGAGGAGGAGGAGGAGGAGGAGATGGGGGAGGTTGGGTTGGGGGGAGTTGTTAGAGACTAGGCCTGCATTGTCTGCTCCCTCTCAAAAGGTTTTTCTGTTGTCCATGGTCATGTTCTGAACTGGATGCGACCCTACAGGTGTCCCTGCTCTCTAAATGTGTTCCCCAGACCCTTCACCGGCCCCCTTCAAGCCGCCCGTCTGTGACCCCTGACCCCGCAGACCCAGGGAAGTATGGGTAATGGCAGGCTTGTCAATAAAGTTCAGGGTCACTAATAGACTAGCTTTGTTCTGTGATGTCAGCTACCAAAAAGAAAAAAAGACGAGGGGAAAAAAAAAACTCCCTCTAACCCACCATCCTTATAACGTGTCTGGGTCTATTCAAATTAAAAAATGGGTGCTTTCGATTGTAAGCCCACAACCCACCTTCTTCCTCCCCTCCCCTCTCCGCCTCCCCGCCTGCTTTTCCTCATCTTCTTCCATCTTCTTGCTTGGCTCTCCTCGTCTTTAACTCCAAAGAGGTGCTTGTGCACTGGGCTAAAAGGTCTTAATGTGTCTGCATTCATGGTGCCAGACCATAGAAGGCTGTTTTTAACCCTGTTTACGGCCTTGCATCCATTTGGCCAGGAGTCCTTCACTCAGCGTCCCTCCCCCTCTCCATATCTCGCTCCATTTTTCAACCTCCTTCACTCTCTCTTGCTCCCTTTCTCTCTTCCACCCACATCCCAATCCTTTTGTGATAGGATATGAATGCACTTTGCTAGTTGATAATTACACTCTCCTTCTCTGCCCTTCTCTCTCTTTCTGACAGTGGGATCCACAGGCAGTCCTTATTCAGCCAGTAATTTGCCTGTCCTCCTCATTCATTGAGAAGGTACAAATTATCCCTCACACGGGCACTGGCTATTCTCCCTCTCAGCCGGCATGATGAGGACTGCACTAAAAAGAAAATAGCCAAGAATATGCACTTTGTATCTGCTGTAAGTGTAATCCGAAAGAAGAGGTTTGTTTCATTCTGGAAGTACAGGTTTCCAGTTAATACGGCAGGCAAATGGAAATAAGTAATCATGAGAAAACTAAATTGTGCAGCGTTCAACAGTTAAAGATGGTTTTAAAGAAACAAACATCTCCCATTTGAAACCGTTTGTTTCAAATATGCGGCGCTGCGTGTCGTACAAAATGCTTGGCTCCCATAAAACAGGGAGATTACAGTAAACACCACAAGTGGCCATCTTCAGATAATTTATGATTTCTTGCATTAAAGTGTCCACGCTTAGGCTCATTTGGACATTTGCTCCCGTTGCCCTTTCATCAACATCCATAGCTGAGGTCTCACCGCCGACCCAACTGTGTTTAAACCTCGTCCAAAATAGCCAAAGCGACAAACAGATAGTTAGCAAATGAAAGGATCCTGCAACAAATTACTTACAGGACTCCGGCTCCTTGCGAGCATATGTGTCTGCAGCCGTTTATATCGCCTTTATGAGTGTATAGTTTCGTCAGGATTTACGGCTGGATATGAAATGCGAACAGTATAACACCCTTTAAGTCTGAGCTGTTTTGAGTCTTTGGTTTATTTCAGCATATCTGTGTGAATTTAATTACAAGCGCTTTGCTCAGTTAAGAAGTTTGACAGCACCGAGGGCCATTTTAGTAATTTATTTATGGGCTGTGTTGGCCGGATGGAGGAGCCTCATTGGCTGGGAGTGAGGGTTCAAACAGCCGGTGGCGATTACAGGGCAAACGTGACCACCGGACAGACAACAACCGGCCCACGAAGTCAACAGGAAATGCTTCTTTAAAAGGCCATAATCATGTTTTGTCTGGTAATTACAGAAGGAGAGAAAACATATAAAAACACATGGTGATAATGGGACAAACACCGATCATAACTGTGTAGAATAATGCCTTTTGGTCACGGAGGGACAATGGAGTACAGAGGCATCCATTGTTCCTTGACTCGATGAACTATGCTGCTCATTAGGTGGAGCTGCCGAAGATTAAAGAGATGGATATGAGCGGAGAAGTCAAGGCCCGAGGTTAGAACTGGGGGGCGAAAATCGACACTCTGCCACAGCAGAGATGATCCAGCTCCCGAGCCCCTGACCCCACAGCGGGCTGCAGCCTTTGATTCCTCTCCTCCTTTTTTCATCCCCGCATCAAGAACACTGATCGTTTCATCTCTTTGCATATTATCTGACTCCACCCCGTCCACCTCATCTCTAATAAGGAGTATCCGTCTCATCTTCATCGCTCCTTCCTATTTCTTGCTCTCTTACAACTGTTGTCATCTTCCTCGCTGTAAGGGGTCCGTAATTGATGGATTTCATTGAAGGGTGTAGGTGTTGTATGTATATCTGCCAAAAGCGTGATGGCATTGATATTCTCCCCCAGGCAAAGGAAGAGCGAGAGGGAGGGAGGGAGACAGCGAGGGAGAGAGAGGTGACCCCACTGGCTGAGTGGCAGTGGCCGTCATGCATAGCATCTCTAAAATGGAGAAAGAGGGGGGTGGGTGGAGGGAGGGTGAATGTCACTTTCAAGTGTCTCCTCGGCACTCTCCCTTAATGAGAGATGGGTTCTGCTCCACAGACAGCCAAGGGGACCAAGAAAGGGCCCTCCTCCCCGCCGCCTCCACCTCATTCCTCCCCTCCACCCCTCAGATCTCCAATCCTCTGAGGAGCTGACAGCTCGAAGATCCGTGAGCATGCGTCTCCTCCACCTGCACAACCTCATTTCCCCATCATAACAACAACAACAACAACAAAGGTATAGGAGGCTTTATGTTGAGCGGTACTGTGCCTGTCCGCTCTGCATTGGCATCCTCTCTACATCATTCTTGATCAAAATGGCCCTCACTTCTGTTCCCCCTGCAGGAGCTCCAGCCTCAGCTTCCTATCTCACTCTTTTCTTTAGTGAGGGACGCACACTAATGCTATTTAGCTAGCCCGGCTAGTGATTCATCCATTCCAGCTGAAGGGAAAGGTGAGAGGAGAGATCTCCCAGGACTCCTCGCAGCCCCCATCTGTCAGACGCACCCGGCCCACTGATTTACATTTACCGCAAGGATTTATGGGATGCCCGCCACAAAACGAGTCGAAGCAGCAAGAATCATGGCGCGGAGAGACAGAGCGGGGAAATTATTCAAAGCAGTGATTATTTTGGGACGGCCATTACGCATGCACACCTGATCAGGGGGTGTCACCCGTGACTCCCCCCATCCACCATGATGGAGAGGGGCCTCATCTGTGCTGCGCTCTTATTTTACCTGGCTTGCATAAAGGAGAATTCTCTTAGGCACCAGGAGAGCCTACTAAGGCTAAATTAGGCCCCCGGACAGGCAAAGGAGAAGGGAGAGAAGAGCAGATGAGGCAGTTATGTATGCACAGGGGATCGAGATGAGGGATACTGGTCAAATTCACAATCAATCTTAAAACCTAGACATTGTGGCGGTATGTTCACAAATTAGTATTTGCTGCTTTCTGTGAAGTTATTCCTGTGAAGGGAAGAGATGTGTGCCGGGCCTGGATTCAACATACATTACCAACTTTAAATTCATTGCGCTGCAAATCAGTGGAAACTAAATGCAGGAAATGGTCATAAATCTGTGAATTCCTCTTATTTAACAGGTGACATTTGCTGCTTGAACTGCTCGCTCTGTAATTCAGAGGCCCAGAAAATGTCACAATGATGGCCCCTCATTCAGCATGGCTCTAAGAGCCGAGTTCACCCGCCACCTTCAGCGGGGATCATCACTTATAGTCATTACTCACAGCACTTTGCAGTCACCAGCTGAAAAAGGTTAGCATAGCCAAGTTTGAGCACACGCACCTTCAGCTGTAGTATTACAACCGAGGTCAGCTCAACTGCAACTCCTGGCCCTCCTCCTCCTCCTCTTCCTCCTCTTCCTCCTCCTTCCTCTCCTTCGTCTCTTCGCCAAGTTCATTATCAGTGGCCCCCAGGAATGACCTGATTTCAATTCAGACGCACTTTGTTCAATTGCCCTACATGAGAGAACTTACTGGAATGGGGCCAGTTGATTATGCTCACAACCACTATGCTTATTTTATTTAATGCCCAAAACAGCAGATAATTTTAAAAATCTAGGTCAACTAATCACGAGCTTTTTTCTTTGCCCTATGTATCCATTTCTTCCACGTGTGATTTTACTCTCTAAGGCGACACACTGAAACGTATTACAGCACCCTTGGCGAGTGTCTGAGTGGTGTCAGAGAGCAGGTAAGGGTTGGTTATTAGCTGTTAGCAATTAGCTAACCTCGAGATGAAAGGAGCAAGGATAAGATCTCAGCTGTAGAGATGAGGTCAACACCGGTGACCTCTGGTGTGTGTGTGTTTGACCTCAGAGCGACAAAGAGATGACTTCACTTCACCCTGAATGATAAGCAGCACGGCTAAACTGGGAGAGCCGAGGAAGCTAACGTGCTGTTTTTAGCGAGGTAGTTATTGAGTGTAGAGCCGCAGGCTTTTTCCGTCTCCTTTCATGTCCTCTCAGTGTGGCCAACATCTCGTGAAATTTTGTGAGCCTGATGTTTTAAGTGACAGCTCCAGCCTGATTTATGGTTTTGCACATATTTCCACTCCTTTAATGTGCTGTAAATTTGAATGTTTTCACATCAGTTAGCTGTGACTGGAGCGCTTTTTTATTATATCCAACGTTCCAAAACTCATTTACCCCCCAATCATTCCTACAAGTCAACTTTTGTTCAACTGTAGCGCAGCGTTTAACCCGATAAAAGGTGGAAAATAAAGTTTTATTTACTGTGAATGCCAGTAAGATGAATGTACTTTCAATTTAATTTTTATTGACTGGATAAGTTTGTCTTAAATCTTTGAAGTCGCAGCGTTCAGGAATTTAATTATTCTGCCAATTAATGTTCCTTCTCAACAACGCCTCCACTTATGAGACGAACTTAAAGGTGGAGTACGCAGGATCTGAGGAAGTGCCAGTTTTTGGGCGAAATCTTGAATGTAAACTCTACCCCTCAAAACCAGTTTTCTCCTCAGCTCCTCCTCTCTCCTCCCTCGCTGCTCCAACAAGCCCCGCCCACAAACAGACGCTCCTGCTCGCTCCTATCGTTACAATTAAATTCAGATATAATGCAGATAAATACTTCAGATAATTACAAATGGGGCCCAGTCAACATGAAAGTCAAAAGCATTGGTGCTACTGTAGATGCCAACAGACTACCAGCAAACACAATGTTTGCAGGACTTCTACAACTAGGATAAAGTGACATAGTCCAGGATGCTACAACACGCATGGTTTAGCGGCACTACAACATGCAGCAGGTCCATTTGACAAGTAACACTTCTGTTACAGACACTTGGTTTACTTTGTTAAAGCGGTTTACCTGTCCAGCAGAAAGGTTACAGGGTCACAAAGATCCCGAAGCCTCCCCCGTCGTTTATGCTAGCTTCACTGATGTTGACCTGGCTTTTTAGCTCTTGTCCGGTCTACCTAGGTTTTATTCCGCCAGTGTCTCCAGTATTTACTTCGTTTTCTTGCTTGTGTTGGCAGTCGTGGCCAAAGGAGGATTCAGACAACTTTCTGTACTTCCTGTTTGGTTTCTACAGTCCGATATTGTAGCATGCTAACTTTGTTTGGGCTCATGAACGACACGCGGGGAGCAGCGTCCACCTCACAACCAACCAGGTAGGGGAGGTGCAGAACGGCTTTGTTTAGAGTCAGAAAGAGCGGACCGCCTAAAACTTTTAAAATGTTGACTACACAGACATGAGAAAACACAGCGATATTGTGATATTCCCAAATGTCATTAATAACTAATATCTATTGACTGATATTAAAAGCTTTTTGTATAAACACCACAAAAAAAGATGCTTCTTTAACTGATTCCTGCCTAACCCACCTTTAACTATTAAACAATGTACAAACCCTCAAAGGATACAGCGTTTGTGTTTCTGTTTTAGGCTATTTCCTACTAAGAAGCTGCTAAATTAAAAAAATCAAGGACCCAAATGTTGCTTAATTTCTTAGTTTTTTACATCTTCCCATACCTCCTCAATGAACTTCAGTGGTTTTCTTGAGCGTTTTAGGTAAGAAGGAAGTGGTCTTCGCTGGAAATAGTCTCTGTCTCAGAGGAACTGGGGTGTTTTATGGCACCGCTCCGGCCAAAGCTGTGATCCCCTTACCTACAAGACACATTTACAGGCATTAGAGAGCTGGACAAAGTTCAACACTGAGCAGTGCAATATCTCTGTTTTACTACACTCTCTTTTCCCTACTCATCTACCGCCTGCCTGCTATATAAGGCTCTTTATTAAGATGAAAAGCAGACTCAGAGTCACTATTTGAATCCGATTCAAAGAGTCTTATTCGTCCTATGATAGTCTTTTTTCCTGGCAGTGAAGGATCAGCCCGCTTATAAAAAAAAAGAAACGGCCTGCTCCTTGTGCCAGCTGATCCTGAGATGATGAGTCGTCTCAGCGGGTCCAAAGGAAAGTTGATTTGCCCCCAAAACACAGAATCCTTATTTTGCCTGTTTGAATGTAGAACAAAGAATAAGAATTGACTGTAGTCCACACTAAGTCTCAGCGAGAGAGAGGTGTGAGCAAAGCCTACTGTAGGGCTTAAAGAGGCGAGAGGGAGAAAAGCAGCTTGGACGGGCGCTGGAGCACTGGACTAGGTGGGCAGATTAGTATCACAAGGATTCCTCAGAGGGATGAAGTGATGAAAGAAAGTCTGCTTTACATTATATGCTCAAATGAAGCTTCTGAGTCAAACAGGAGAATCATCCCATTGAGAGAATGAAGCAATTTCGTTCACAGGGATAAGACGAAGAAGAGTTCGTGAAAGCTGAGGACACTTTATTGGCACTTGACAACCAAAGAACAAAAACAAATGCGCGGGCTTTTAATCACAATTAGCATACTCCCCAGACCCCTCTCATCATTGTCTCTGTGAGTCATTCATACACACCGGTGATGGGGAATATGTGGCATAACATATGTGGGAAATATTCTGAGGCTTTTGTGGCCTGACAGAGGACCCACCTAATCTTTGGGATAGCTTTCCCTCCGATTGCAGCTCTGAAAGGCTCTTAAGTGAAATAGGACAAAGAAACTCTTAATTTCTCATACGGCTCCGTCGGTTGTCAACCCAATTAACTGATCAGGAGGGATCAGTCTGTGACAACTGTCAGAGCACAACCTACCAGACAAAAGCTCCATTGTGAATAGAGGGAAACCTACATGCCCTGGTCAAAGGGACTTGCG